ATGGGAATATTCTTCCTCTTATATACAGTACTAATACTATAATCTGACCCAGGAAACTGCCAGGCCACAGCTATGCAATGTGTGTATGTAGACAAGGATACGCCACATACATAAGCATATCCATATATTCTTTTAAGCAGCTATACACAGTTGTACATGCATTTGTCCTATTTCTTTGACTTTTTATGTTCATGTAAGAAAGTATATTGTGATTGTTAAAACTTGAAAATAGGTCAGTATGTTAGGAAGCTGTTTCTCTGGTTAGGTAAGCCCAGTTATATGGTAAATAAATTTGATAAATATGAATTAAGCTTGAGTATTATGTATATGAGAAGTTATGATAAGATGACATTTTACGCAAAATAAATTAATATAAATATATAATGGATCCTCCCACTCCAGACACCATTTGAAATCACATAGAACCAAGGAATGATATCCATTACACATTAAACCTAAACTTTTTCTCTAAGACTTGTTCTCAGATTCCACCAGTAGACACACCATTATTTAACTTTAACCTCAGAGTGCAGCTTTAAGAGTAATGGCATGGGGGGGTGTTTTACCATTTATTAAGTTTTCATAATATACAAGTATTATGATACAAGTGCATAAAACCAGTAATTGAAGTTAATTGGAATCTGTAAGAATAATATTGTAAGATATCATTTTGTTGGGGAAGATTTTAAAATTGAATGCAAAATAACAGCCTACCTTGTCAAATAATTCATTCCATATCATATCCACAGCAAATGGGAATGTAGAGTATGAATCATTTTTATTTTGTAAAGGAGATAATCCTATTTGTTTCACTAACAATTATATATTTTGTCATCAATTACTTTTTGTTCCAGGCTTAATAATTTTTGAAGTTTTAACATCTATTTGCTATCATAAGTAACGGATAGATAATGAATAGAGAATTTTAACTATTTCATACCAAGAATTGATGAGCAACTATTCAGTAAAGATTTACAGAAAAGGTACAGTGAAAATAGAAATGAAGGACCAAGTAAAAGGCCTAGATATTAAAAAACCTAAGGACATGAATAGATATTAGCTTCACATTGCAAAGGGTTTAGAGATTTTCTTTTTGTAATTTAGATAAAGTGATTTATTAAATGTGTAAATGTCACTTGTAACATGTTCAGAATATAAATGGCAAGAATAACAGGCAGCAGTTTAAAAGCTTGCATTTACCTTGGTCCCAGCCACACAGCGTGAATGGAATATTAATTACAAGAGTTACAAATGACCTTGGGTGGAACCAGATTGAAGTTGTATCATATTCATCAGTACTTTTTGGGGGGTATATTCTTCTGGTTGATTTCCTTCAATTCTCTGTATTAGTTTAAGAAGAACTAGAAAAGGAAGTAATTCACTGTATGGGGAAGAAAATGGGGAAGAGTTTTATTTATGTTTATTTTCTCCAATTATAAGTTGATAGAGTAGATGAAAGTCTTTTTAATTAATACTTTTAATGGTGTTTCACTGTTTATGCTGAAAGTGAGCTGTGATCAGTTCCATATCCAGGGAAAGGGTGGGGGGTCAGTAATACTCACCTATTGTCTTATATATATATATATATATATATATATATATATATATATATATATATATATATATATATATATATATATATATATATATTTATATATATATATATATATATATATATATATATATATTTATATATATTTATATATATATATATATATATATATATATATATATAGTATATACTATATATATATATATATATATATATATATATTATATATTTATATATATATATTTATATATATATATATATATATATATATATATTATATATATATAGTATATATATTATATATATATATATTTATATATTTATATATTATATATATATATATTTATATAATATATATTTATATATATATATATATATATATTATATATATATATATATATTTATATATATATATATATATATATATATATATATATATATATATATATATATATATATATATATATTATATATATATATATATATATATATATATATATATATATATTTATATATATATATATTATATATATATATATATATTTATATATATATATATATATATATATATATATATATATATATATATATATATATATATATATATATATATATATATATATATATATATATATATATATATATATATATATATATTTATATATATATATATATATATATATATATATATATAATATATATTATATATATATATATATATATATATATATATATATATATATATATATATATATATTATAATATATTAATAGATATATATATATATATATATATATATATATATATATATATATATATATTATATATATATATATATATATATATATATATATATATATATATATATATATATATATATATATATATATATATATATATATATATATATATATATATATATATCTGGCATATATTCAAAGTATACTTTAAGCCTATGATTATGTTGGCTGGGAATGTACTAGGTAATTTATATAATATCCTGTTTTGAATAGGAGTGCATCTCATTCTTTGTTTTATTTTTCTTTCAATTAAATATGCTTTTGATACTTACTGAATTTCATTTTTGTTTTCAGGATGAATGTACCACAGCCAGAATGCTTACAGAAGCCCCTGAATGTCCCGTCAAAACTCCTGATGGGACCAGGCCCTTCCAACAGTCCTCTGCGGGTGCATTATGCTATGATGAAACCTCTTTTAGGACATCTGCATCCGGAGTTTACACAGGTAACGATTATTTTATGTTTGGTTTTTATTGCTGGGACAAATATATATGGATTCCTTTTACTAAATGTTAATGTTAAGCTGATTATATGCCTGTATTTCCTTTTGGTAAGTCCTGATATAATGCAAATTATATGTATGTATTTCCAATTAGCAAATGTTAATATTGATTTGATGAAGAGCTTGTATTTCCTTTTAGTGAGAATTAATGTTCATCCAATTTAGTCATATATTTCCCTTGTTTGATTGATGCTTTTAAATCATATGTAATCTCTCCTTCTTCCTTACATCTCCTCTGTCTCCTTTTAATCCTCTTTCTTTCTTTGTCCACATTTTCACACCCCAAAAAATAGATCATGGATGAAGTTAAGGAAGGGCTGCGGTACATTTTTCAAACCAAGGCAGAGGTTGTGTGCTGTGTAAGTGGCACAGGACATGCCGGCATGGAGACCACTATGTGTAACCTCTTGGAACCTGGCGACGTAATCCTCATTGCACAGAATGGCATTTGGGGGGAGAGAGCGGCTGACATGGCCAGGAGGCACGGTAAGGTTGGAAGAAAATCTATGGAGAGAGGAGAGAGGTTATTTTTTATATCGTGTTTATGATTATTATTACATTTTTAATTTATCTACTTTATTTATTTATTTATTTATATTTTAAGTACTGAATTGCATTTGGTTCTTATTACTGTATTTATTATCTTTATGTTACTGATATTCAATTTGGTTTGTAGTGATTATAACTTTTATTTTGAACATTATTGCTTCCTCAGTATGCATGGGCCTAAGCTTGAACATCTATGATTAATTGCTAGATGCTGATGTACGCATTATCGACAAGCCTGGAGATACCTTTACCCTAGAGGAGTTAGATGCTGCCCTTGCTCAACACAAACCTGCGGTCCTCTTTATGGTCCAGGGAGAATCATCAACAGGTGTCTTGCAGCCATTAGAGGGAGCAGGAGCTTTGTGTAGAAAGTAGGTAGAGCTCGCATGTTTTAAGGGGTACATATGATGATTTACCCCCTTTAGGACACAGTATTTTTTCATTTTGTATAGGTACATGTGTTTTTTTTGTTTTTTTTTTTCTTCTTCTTCTTTTTCCTTTTTTCCCTTCTTATTTACATTCTGAATGTTCATGTCAGAAGTGATACATTTATATGAAGACATATGTTGAAACCTTTGGATGGGAACAGTGAGGTAAAATTTCTTGAATCTCTTTTCATATCCTCAGAAAGGATATATATGAAAGAAAATTTGTTGTCAGTTTGTATGATATGAAACTCTTTTTCAGACATGGTGCCCTGCTTGCTGTAGACTGTGTTGCATCCTTAGGGGGTGTGCCTTTTTACATGGATGGTTGGGATATTGACGTGGTCTACACAGGAACCCAGAAAGTGATATCTGCACCTCCTTCCATGGCTCCAATTGCATTTAATGACAGGGCAATGTAAGTTGCTTACTGAATTGTGTACTGTTGTTTCTGTTTTTATTCCTCTTCAGCAATGTACTATGAGGTGTTATTAGGCTTTAGCTCTATCTCTTATAGTCAGTTAGACATTGATGTAAGATAAAACTCTGTGGATCACCATTATTTCTTTGTGCTAGTTTTTTATTATATCAGCCTGCATGCAATTTTGAATCCAGTACTGCTGAGTTGTGTCCTGGAAAACCATGATGCTTTTGCTGTATGTTTACTTGTTGCATCCACAACCATTAAGTATCCCTCTAACTGTATTGTATTTTAATTGTTATTAGAGAATGTGTTATATATATATATATATATATATATATATATATATTATATATATATATATATATATATATATATATATATATATATATATATATATATATATATAAGGTATAAGGAGAGCAGTTTCATAGACATGAAAGGCTGTAATATTCCATTCATCCTACAATAACCCAGCTGGAGAGATGGTCCTGGGAGTCTGTTCAAAACTGATTTTATTTGCTCCTTGAAACTTTTTGTGTGCAAGAGATGTAAGGGTTCTGCAGGATATATGAATTATTGATATTGATGATACAAAGAATACTTTATTTTAGTAAGTACTCAACAGAAATCCACAAGCTCTTCTTTGAGTGATGTAGTTATTATATTATTACTTATTCTTTGGTGTGTTACCGAAGTGCAGATAAGTTCAGGACTTGAAAGTTGTTTAGTAATATACATTCAATTCATTGAGAGCTGACAGAAAAAAACCCTTGTACAGTTATTAGTTGGAACACAGTTCTTCACTACCAAAGGAAGAAGTAAACACTACTAACGTGATTAATTTTCCTAGGGCTAAAGTACGGTCTAGGAAGACTCCTATCAGAAGTTTCTACTCTGATATGACTTGGCTGGCCAATTACTGGGGCTGTGATGGCACACCTCGCAAGTATGTCTTGTTTCTCCTTTCTGTTTTTCACTGGTAAAGAAATATAAAGTTGGATGTATTTTTTCCAATAATTTTCTTTTTTGAGGTCAGTTTCATGAGAGGAATATATAAATGTTTCAAATATTTAAAAAGCAGCAGCAAAAATGTCCTAATCTTTTTGCCTTCATCCTAGATACCATCACACAGGCCCAATCAGTGCTGTGTACGCTCTCCGGGAAGCTCTAGCCATAGTCTGTGAAGAAGGCCTAGAATCTCTGTGGTCAAGACACAAGGCTTGTGCCAAGAAGCTTCATGAGGGTCTTGGTGCCCTTGGTCTAGAGATGTATGTGTCAGACCCCAACAAGAGGACTCCTACAGTGTCAACCATCCGTGTTCCTGAAGGGGTTGATTGGACTAGAGTCACTAAGTACTTTATGTCAAAGTAAGGAAAATTTGTTCTTTGTGGTAATATTAATTGAAATGATTTATGTTGTTGTTTTTGTTTTACTAGTAACTATGTTTGAGAATTTGGAAGCATGATTATAATTGTAATGTCAGACTATTGTGGCAGTAAGTATCCAATATTATATTAATATCAGTGATGCAATTAACTTTCTGCAATATATGTAAATTTGCATAGAGATGTAAAGAATAAATGTTGTTGTGATTATAAAGAAGTTCGCTTGATTTTGCTTTGTAGATATGAGTAAATGCACATCTTTATTTGGGGTATGAGATATATTTTAGTATTCAAAAGTTGTGATATTTTGTTTTAGTATATACCATAGATGCATTATTGATGATCTTCTATGTATAACTTGAAACATTGAATTAATGTGTCATGTGTTTTGAAAAGCGAGACCAATATTTTTTTCCTCTTTTGGATGTAAACTGATGCTTAATTTTCTCCTTTATTCATATAGTTACCTAGTTGAAATTAGTGGTGGACTTGGCCCATCTGCGGGGAAAGTGTGGCGTGTTGGACTTATGGGCTACAACTGTACACCTGAGAATGTAGATTTGGTTCTCAGGATAATGAAGGAGGCTCTGGCAGATGCTACAGGTGTGTTGAATATATGCTTTGCTTTGTCTTGATTTAGTAAAAGTGAATATCAACACTATATTCATTTTCAGTTCACATTGTGGCAGTGTTTCTTTTTATATTTTTTTTCTTTCTTTCTTTTTCTTTTTTCATGTGCATCATATTTTCAATAAAGCACACTCAAATGATATAGTACTCCCATTGCCAATATTTAACATTTGTACTTATAACAATAACTCTTCATAAGTGACAATGTGTGATTGACTTTTGATATTATTTATCTTGCTCTCAAAAGTCAAAGATCTATTAGGGTGCAGTTTTTGTGGTGCCAAAGATCTCTTCATAAGTGACAATGTGTGATTGACTTTTGATATTATTTATCTTTGCAGGCAAGTCTCAAAAGTCAAAGATCTAGAATAAAAACAGCAATAGAACAGCAAGTACTTTTCCAAAGTTATTGTGGATACACAAGTAGCTGGTCAAGAAGCTAAAAACTTAAAACTCATTTGTGACTTCATAGACTTCATGGATACTTTGTATTTGGTCAAGTGATTTGCTCAAGGATAATTGTTGTTTCCTATTTTTTATTCCTATTTTTTATAAGAGATAGGTGAATTTAGACTTAATTTTAATTGTGCTTTAAGTCTCGCTGGTTTAGGTTTGGTTGTGCAGCTTCTTATACATCACAACTGTAGGGTTGGCATGAATGAGAATTAATAAATTCCAGGTAGCAATATATTAATTTAACATTTTCATATTAACTTAATCAGAATTGCTTCATTTTGGTCATGGTTTAGTATTGAAATGTTGATTTCATAGCTTGTCTTTTGAGATTTTTATTCATAACTTGATTTTGATCACAGTTGTGAAAATCTTGGTGACAGTTTTATTTGTAAATGATATGGCTGTTTTATATGCCTTTTATATTGTGAATATAGACTTTAACCATTCCAATAGAAATTCAACTTCATAGTTGAATTTAATGTTTTTTCTAGTTTTTATTTGATATATTTGAATGAAATTGGCAGCTGATAATGTCAAGAGAACTTTATCAGAGAACCTATATTTTTGGAGAAATGTTAAGTAGTTACAGAGTCTATTTTTAATACATTCCCTAAGCCTTGTTCTCTTCTGTTTAAATTACTTAAAGTCCAGTTTTGTGGACATTTCATTTATATCAGTTTTAAGAATTAGAATTTTATTGTTGAAACTATTGTTGTACGCATTTCGGTCACCCATGAAAATGCTCATTATTGAGATTATGCTAATAAAAGTTCTGAGACTCTTATGATGTGTTTTGTTTATCAGAAACCAATGCTTGATTTCATTTTAGGGTTCCTAACCTTTTTGCCTGCTACCCTAGTCATGGCAACAGGCCTTACCCCATACTCACTGTAATTTTGGTTTAATAATTGTATTTACAGATTGATAGCTCTACAAGTGCTTAATCATCAGGTAGTTGATTACTACTCATACCAATCTCATCTTTTTACTCTGTTCCTTAATCTTTCATTTTTATAAATTGCTATTAGTATTATTGATAGCATAATAGTAATCATAATGTAATGGTGATATAAGGAACATTAGAAATAAAGAATTTTTCCAAAAAAAATCAAGGAAAGGAGGAATCACGTGAAGTTATGTAGGCCCTGCTAATTGAACCCTTGGTGGCTGAGCACTTGTGGGACCATCTGTTTCTAAACACAATTTACACAACAAAACATCAATGTCCATTATATACTTCTGACACCTTTTTTGACTGGCTAAGCTGAGAATCCAGACATTATTTATCAACATTAACCATAATTATAACCTGACAGCATCACAGTTTCAAGCTCTGTATTTATATAAAACTTTTGATGCTTTAACAACCCTATGAAAAAGGCTTGGCAATTGCATGGTTGAATTTAGGATTCATAGTGAACTACAGACTGGATGTCATTAGGGATTTCACCATTCTGCACTGAATATGGAATTGAATAGAGCTAGTGCAGAGATTCCCAAACTAATGTATGATGAGATTTCAATAATATGTAAAGATCGGGCATGAAAATTCTTCATTTTATTTTTTATAGACCAACAATATCTCAAAAGCTGTAACGCTTTAGGAACTGTACCACTGATGCCTTTTTTTCATTACCTGACAGAATCCAACTAAAAGAAAAGTTAGTTATTTTCATGGTCGTAGGATGCACTTGTTAAGTTCTTCAAATAATATTTTCAACAATACCATTGTTTTCATGATATTTAGAGGAGATTTAACCAACTCATGCTTGATGTGGAATTGTATTATCTGCTCTTATTCATTAAAAGACCCTCATTACTGATTTTACTTACATGTTTATTTCTTTTTTTATTGAGATCCCTCTGAGATAGATCTAAATCCTGCAACAGTAATTAAAGTGGACATTTGATTTTTATTTTTATTTGCAATACTTTTTATGTACTGTATGTATGTAGGAGGAAAAGGAGTAGTATGTTAAATATGATAAGTTTAATTCCAGTAAAATATGGTCTCCTTGAAAAGATTAAGACTGTGCATTGAACTCTGTTGATGTCCTTTGAACAAAAAAACAAAAACAAAAGTAAAATCATAATGAAAGTTGATGGCTGGAGTTGAAAGACAAGTCTGTTTTATTTTCCAATACTTGGTATCATACAATACCGTCAGTTAACAAATGGTTTTAATATGATAATTGATAATTTATAATTAATTTTATAATTAAATTTTAATTCCTTTTGTTACAATGGATACTGAACAGTATTGATTATATCCCTAGGAAGTCTCTATAACATAACAAATTTAAAGTTCAGGAAAATCACAGGAAGCCATAAAGATATTAAATCAAGTTAAAACATCTATGTTCATCCACATTTTTTCTTCAAGCAGCATACTTTACTTCTTTATTTGGTTATCATCTTTTATCCATTCACTCTCTTTCTGTCTTTTATTTTTTCTGTTTCTTCCTTATGCATTCATTCACTTTTCCCCACATTCATTCATCCATTCTCTCTCTACTTTTTTTCCTTGCATTTTTCATTCTCTCCTTTTTCTGTTTCTCTCCCTCTTTCATACCTGTTCATCACTTACTTTTTCTCCCATCCAGAGTCTATCTGTCTGTCTGTCATCACTGGATCATACTTACAGGATTCCACTCTAAACATGCTCTGTTGCACCTCAGCCTCTTCCACTATATATCATTGTATGTAAATCAAATGTTGTCTGAAAAACAAAAGTAGATCAGATGAAACATTAAATTCTGCATCAATCGTAGAGCAGCAGCAGCCAATCATCTATTCCTATGTCAAAAAGGCTTTGTGTATTTTTCCTTAAGTTTAGAAACTGGGCTCAGTATACTTCACAGGTGATTTTCAGCCGTGTATGAAATTTGCTTCATTTTAATCATAATTACTTATTGTATGAAATTCGCTTATTGATGAGAATTATATAATCATAACAGTGAATAATGTGTGAGAAATAAAAGTTGGACTGACCATCACCTTTAAGAAAAGAATTCAAATTTACAGTAGTACAATGTAGGTCCATGCCAACATTTACACCACAGACACTTTTGACATTCCTGGCAAAATTAGTCGTTCACTATTGCTAATGTACTGCATATATTAAAAAGGTTGTCATAATGGTTTTGTATCACATATTACCCCTGTACAAATCAGTACTTAAATAGTGAAATCAAATTTGACAGATATTCGTAAGTTTAGACAAAAAACACATCAAGTTTCTATGAAGCCTTACTTTTTATTTGAAAGCCAGTACGTCATATCAAAAATTCCTTCTTTCCTCCATGCATTCTACTTGCAGTAAGGGATGTGTAGTGTTGGATTTCATCATCATGGAAGACTTTGATATATGTCCAATGATGAGAATTACCAACTTCACTTGATGGTTAATATTCAATATAGTAAAAGACTGGCGAATTTCAAAAATACATTACCACAGTATATGATCAGTCTTCCTCAGAAACAAAGAAATTATTGATAATTGTTGTTTTTATCCACAGTGCCTATAAGCCTTAGCTGAGCTATATTTCAGGAAAACAACTTCTGCTGGCCATAGTACCAGGGGCTTCCACAGAATGCTTGTCTTCTGCATGGATTCTCACACCTTTTATTTTTATCTATTCCCTCATCTGTGTTGCAGGAGTTTGACTGATATATATGCAACAGGAACAACGAAGGGAAGGACAATAAAACACACGAATATGCCGAAGGCCTTTTCGCTAATGCTTTGTCATAGGCCTTTAGCATATTCGTGTGTTTTCTTGTCCTTCCCTTCATTTTTCCTGTTGCAATCTGTTTATCATGAATTCCACACTGATATATATATTACTGTCTTCTGTGTATGGAGGCTGATCCATATATTTCTACATTTTTTATAATTGCCTACTTGAGCAGGGTACAGCCTTACAAAATTCAAAATACCCCTCATATTTGCACATATATCTAAAAAAAAAAAAAAATTACAAGCCAAAGTCACAGACAGTCGTGAATAATCACTGCTCCTGCACTCATAATTTCATGCCTCAGAGGATGACCATATCGCACACATTGATGTCAGAAGGCTAGTTAAGTGGTGTTGCACAAGTGTGATTCCTTACATCTGGTTCATTTATAAGTGTTACATGTCACTATTCTGAAGATAAAAAATAGAGTTGAAAGTTATTTACTCTTAGTCTTTTGCATTTTCTGCAGAGTTGATATATTACAAATTTTTAGTATTTTGTGTATAAATAAAAAAGGTAAATATAGATGAATCAATAAATGATTCTTAGCTACAAGGTGTCTCCACATTAATAAAGAAATAATTTAGAGAAGAGTGAACTCAAAGAGGTAGAATATTACAATGACATATGTGCCAAAAGTCTGTCATAACTCCTCTGCTGTGTATCATCCATCCATGCATCTTGATAAGAGATATCTGAATTATCTCTCCACACCTCAGCATAAAATTTCCTACATGTGTCCCAGTTTTAAAGTTTGCTTTATATGAAATAATATGTTTTGCTTTGTATGCAAGGTATAATAAAATTAAACATGTACTTACAAAATACTTTATTTGGCTTAACAAATTTTATGAAGAATATTCATCAGTGGTAAAACATTCTGTAAAAAATACTCATCTAAAAAAGATTCATGTGAACATTCCAAATGTTGAAAGATGCTTTACATTCTTTTTTTGAATGATTATTATACATGAGCATTGTCAAGTCATGCTTGGATATGATGACTAGAGTATATGATACTTCTCTGCAGAGTACTGTATGTCAGAGATCTGTTAATACAAAAAATATCAGTACAATAGCACAGAACCAAGGTAGTGAAATATTAGGACGACCTAATACCCATTAATACCAGCATAAATCACAGATCTTGCATTATATTGCAACAAAACAGTCATCCAGGGAAAATATTTGATACCTTCAAAAAGATGACACCATTAACAACTGGCTGACTAATTAGTGAAAATTATAACACTAGTAACTGACTGACTACATGAAATCAACTATGCCAATACCTCTTACTAAAAGCAGCCTACTAATGACACTATTCAATCAATGATCTGATACTGTATGATACAGTATAGTTATTACTTATCCTGCGATTGCCAAAATCAGTGATTAAAACATAATAAAAGTTAATAAACATGATTTAAATGCATTATCACCTGTTGGCTCTGTGACCCTAAAACTCCCAAGTTTTTTTTTTTTCTGAAATGAAGATATGTTGAACACCATGCCCAGAAAATATTTTTTCAATATTAGTTTACGATATGTAAATTATTAATAAATGAGTCTCAAAGTTTATATGGATGTAACTTAAAAGATTGAACATTTCAACTATGATGTGGAAGATGTGTGGGGATGGAAATTTAACAATTGTATGTATAGTCTGTAATGATTATTATATTCATTACATACCATAACTCTTTCATAAAAAAAAAAAAAAAAAACATACATTTCCGTGTTCAATGCATTTTGAAAACCTAAAAATTGTGCATTCTACTTTCAGTGAACATTAATACCATCCATCAGTCAAAATAAACATTATACAGAGAAATGCCATGAAAAATTAATATACACACTAGCCAACCCTTACCTCACTTGATAGGGACAGAAAACAATGATAGATAAACATATGAGAAATGATTCTTTAATTGGTAGATTCATACTTTGTATTTAAAATTACAAGATTAAAAGTCATTAAAATAAAATGAAAATAAAAAATGCATTCTTTTCAAAATCCCTAATGAATTAAATTCACTATACACAGCACATCTTCAAGAATGAAAAGAAAACATCATATGCTGTTTAGATCTAAAACTTATTGATACAGAATATACACATCATATGGAAATTGAACATATAAAAGCTTTTAAACCACTATAATAATAAAGTGAGCAGTTATTTTATGAACTTTCCATTATTAACCATAAAGAACAAGGAGGGTGGGGGTGGGGGTGGGGTAATGCAGACCTGGGATATGTAACTCAGACATTTAATAATATCTAAGACTTATCACAGTACACATTAGACTCTGAATGAGGAATGTGCTTAATTCAAGATTTCCCTAATATAGAAAAATTCTCCATTACAGATTAGGATATCTTCCCTGTCTTAAATCATTTTTTGTACTTTGGTAATTTCTCAAGATTCCAATTTATGATGACATCTACTGTGCTGAAATGGAGAAAATAATGGTCAATCCTAAAATCTGTATTGACTGCTTGCCTCTGAGGACGATTCCACAGTGATGTGGCGATAAGCTGGAATTTCACTTTGCCTGATCCACTCAGCATGATAGATGCTGGGGCAGACAGGGGTAACCTCTTATTTTAAGCCAGAACACCGGCTTAGGAAGGGTTACTATTCCGGGAGGATTTTGGGTGATCTCATGATTAGAGTAAATAATGACATGAGAGGGGGATTCGTGTGACCACATCATAATAAAAATCTAGGTTTTAATGCATTAAAAATATGAATGCTTGATAAAATCACAAAATATTTTCTTTAAAACGATATTAATTAAAGGTATATAATAATAATTCTGTACTTGCAGAGCTATTCTTATTATTTTCTTTTCATGACAATATAGAATCTATTCCAACATGACTGTAGATGCCCTTAACATGATCATCTTATGAAATACTTGAAAATGACACATAAATATCAAAATGAAGATCACTCAAGGATGACTCTTAAAAAATGTCTTCTGAATTCTAAAATATATTAATTGTGACCTAAAAAAAGAATTGACAGAAAGAACTACAGCTCGTTCTTCCTCGTCTTGCTTCTGTCCCCTTTCTGCTTCTTTTTATCTTCCGCTTTCTCCTTGGCTTGTTCTTCAGCAGTGATGTCTTCACCATAAGGTTCAGAAAGACACTTCTTTTCTTTAAGGGTCTTTTTACAAACAGTTGACTGGAGAGATTTAGTCTGATCGCCAAAATACCAACTACTTATAGCATCCTCGTGATCTTCAATAAACTGTTCACACTGTAAAAGACATTTGAAAGATTAATCAATATTGATGATAGGGTGAAATAAAATATCAGAAAATTGTTATTTCCTCAAAAACCAATCACTGTAAAAAATCAACTTCGATGTGTTTTATTAATTTTTGTACTTTGGTAATTTCAGGATTCTATCAAAAATACATTGCCATACTATATGCTGAACTGTGTGGAGAAAATAAAAATGTGTTTTCACTTTTCAAGAAATTTTCACTTCAAGAAATTATGAGCTAAATCTTTACAGGAAGTGACAGAACACATTAATCTTAAAATTACTTTTACTATAGACTGATTAAAAAAATAAGAGTAAATACCTGTTAACTAATAAATTAAATAGTATCTTTGATGCAGAATTAAAAGAAAATTCTGAATATACATAAACCTTATGGCATAAAATCTATCTAAGCAGCAAACTGGTGGACAAAGTTTGGGTTGGCCAGAGTGAATTAGTGTGTGCCACAAGCTGGGCTCCTGATGCAGGAACTGGGTTCATATAATAATTAGGTGTCACCTTGTATCAGAAATTTATTTTTTGCCATGATGGGAAAGAATGTCACATGACATGAATACATGAATGATATCTGGGCAGTTCCAAGAACATTAAAAAAATTACATTGCAATATTCAAAGAGTGCAAACAAAAAGCTAAGTTAAAGATAACAATAGCAATAGCTCATTAGAATTCATGGGATTCTGTAACTGCTATTGGCAACACTAGCCCTAAACATTATCCTGAAAACATACAAAAGCTAAAGAATGATGATAAGGCCCAGCAAAAGATTAAGGCTGAATGATTTCTGGCCTTTGCATTTATAGTATAAACCAACTACACACTCTGAGCAGTGATCAGAAGAAACTATTTCATTTTCTTCTTGACTTCAGTGCTTAACATGCTTTATCAATTATCATTGAAAAGAATACTGGAAGAAATTCAGAGGAAATATATATGACATAATGACTGAAGTTTGTAGTGCATCTTTATCTTTCTATATTTTATCTTGTTTATTTGTTATCATCAATAATTTGAAGTATCTATATCTTCACTATATTGTTGTATTTTCCCTAGATTAAAAGGCACAATACTGTTTTCAAAAATATTAACCAATATATCAAACTTTCAAAAAGTGGTATCTGCCAATGTTTCTTATTAAATTCTTTTGTTTCCATAAGTATCAAAATTTCGTCTTCAAAGTAATTTCCTTTGTGTTTAGCGTTTCTTTTTCCCATAAGTGTCTTTATTTCACATGCAATTGT